TTTTGAATAAAATTGTTTCTTAAAATGTTATGTTTTTTTAATTCGTATATGTGTCTTCTGAACTTTAGATGTGTATCCTAAAATTTTATTCAGCTTTTTTAAATCACAAGGTGTTTTTTAAGTTGTAAATGTGTTTTGCACTTCTCAGCCACCGTAGATTTCCTCGCCGTTTGCAGAGAGTTGACTTTCTTGTTTAGGTGTGTCGAGGCGTTTGGATTAACCTGTGTGTTCCTTAAAGGCTGTAATCTTACAGGATTAATGTTTTAGAAAAGCCCGAGCGTTTTCTATGGTGTGGTTCTCACTTACAGCCGTCACATGACCGTTAACTGTCTGAGAATTTCAGTGGTGGGAAGTAACGAAGTACAAGTACTCCGTTACTGTACTTAAGTACAATTTCCGTGTATCTGTACTTTACTTAAGTAGATTTAATAATGGATACTTTCTACTTTTACTCCACTACATTTAACAGTAAGTATCTGTACTTTTACTTCACTACATTTCTATACAGCGTTTCGTTACTCGTTACATCCAAGACGCATTTCGGTTTTTTGATTTGTTCGTTAGTTTGAAAGTATCCAATGGCGAGAGCAGAATCAGTCCGGGAAATAATAATAATAATAATAATAACCATTAGGCCCTCCCTCAAGAAGAGCAGCACAGTACCAGGACCTGCAAAAATATCTAAATCTAAACTGTCACAGGGGGTAAACACAATAAAAACATGCTTTATCTGCAGCATTGCTCATTAAAATGGTACATTACTGATTTATTCAAACTAAATACGATAGGTACACTTAATGACATTATATAAGCCGTTAGGTATTATGGTTGGCAAGTGCTTTTACTTTTAATACTTAAGTAGTTTTGAAAGCTTGTACTTTCTTACTTTTACTTAAGTAAAATAATAATGTGGTACTTTGACTTTTACTTGAGTAAATTTTAAGTCTGTGTATTTGTACTTTTACTTAAGTACATTGTATGAGTACTTTCTCCACCACTGGTGAATTTGAACCTGTTGCAGGTCGTCCCACGTCTTTTTTCAGCTCTTTCTTTTGGACATAAAGTGACAAATTTATGCTGTGTACAAACCTCAGAAGTCCGTTATGTGGGGAGTGAGCGGGTACATAAAAGGCCTTTAAAGCAGGTAAACCTTCACGTCCCGTTAGTGTCTTTGTGTGGAATCCACTGGAAAAGGGGAAAAAAAACTACTTTGATTTTTGTCGCTAGTGAAACAAAAAAAAGCAGTTTTTTTTTTCTTTATAGATCAGAGGAAGCCTCACTTTGGGTTTGTCTGCTTTCGTCAGCTGCCGGATTCAAAGAGGAAACAATAAACTGCCTCACACCATCATGCACAAACACGTCTGCCTGTCCCAGACATTTTAACCCTGTAATGCCAAATATATCATATCTGATACATATGGTTTCTGAAATGTTTTGCGTCTGACTCCTTTTGCATAATTTAATGGTAAAAACTTTGCTCAAAATCCTATTGTACACAATTAGATTAGAAAATCCTAATTTTTTTTATTGTTTTTTATTTTATTTTTATATATATATATATATATATATTTATCTATATATTTATTTATTTATATATTTATTTATATATTTATTTTTATTTAATTGATTTTTTTATTTTAATTTTTATTATTATTATTATTTTTCTATTGTACACAATCAGATACACCTGATAACAG